CAATAAACACTTATTCAATCCAACCAAATTCCTTTTTTGTTCGACATGGATCGTCTACAAGCCGCCAACCCAGTCGTCCCGCCGCAGGCATCACCAACAGCCCATTTGAGAATGACTGTTGAACCTTATTTAAATGAATGCACACCCCTACTGGATGATGCAGATTCCTATCTGCAGTTCCACATTGACGAGACGTTGTCGTCAATGGAACAAATTTCCAGTCTCCAGCAAGCTAGACGAGCAGCTTCCTATGCTTGCGTCTTGTTGAAGGAGAAAGAACAATGTCTCCGCACCTTGTTCGACGAATGGAAAGATATAATTCGTTCGCTATCACCTGAAGATAGCGAAGAGACCGTGCACTCGGAATATTCCTCATTCCAAGCTATGAGTGTAAACCCAAACGGTCTCAGAGCAACTCTTTCACACGTCAACACAATCATCCATAAACTACATTTCTTGGATGAAGACCTCCACGATCTTGAAGATCGAATACGCTCAAACCTTTCCCCCGCACCTAGTCGCCAATTGCTGCAATCCCCACAATTGTCAGCGACTACAACTCAACAAAAAGCTGAACCACCTATTATCCAACGCCAACCGTCACAAGTCTCCACAGATGCATACGTTCAATCAACTCATCTTCCGAATACTATCACAGCTCGTCTACCGCAACTTCAATTGCCAACATTCGACGGCAAACCAGGTGAGTGGTTTGAATTCTGGCAACTTTTCGAAGCCACCGTCGATATTCATCCCCTCGCAAATGTAGAGAAATTTGCGTACCTAACCAGCTGCTTACGAGGTCAAGCAAAACTCGTAGCAGCAGGCTACCCACGTCGAGCGGAGAGCTATCGTCCTCTAATCGATGCTCTCCATCAACAGTTCGGCAACCTTGATGCGCTTGAACGCAGTCTTCAAGTGCAACTGCGTCAATTGCGTAACCCCACTCATACTTCGACTGATCTTAAAGAATTTCATAACGATGTTTCTCGCATTCTAAATCATATGCGTATTGCTGACATCGATACTGAACAGCGGCAAATATTATTCGAGCTAGAAGAACATTTGCCTGAAGCAACACGGCTTCTCATGTATTCATCGAAGCGAAAATGTGTCAATTATTCGACTTCTGATTTCCTTCGAATTTTGTTAGAAACGGCTCAAATGCTGGAAGCCGTGCAACCTCTTGCACGCTTCAGCAGCCGCTCTGAACACGCTAATCAATCGATAATGCCAACTCGCAGAAATATACCACAATTATCGATGCGATCATTTGCGTCTTCTTCACCAAATCAAACGGCATCATCAAATAAATTTCGTCAGCAACGATTCTCTAATATTAATCAACAACCACCACCAGTAAACTTCAGTCGACAGCAACAGTCCACGAACCTAATTCGTAACTCCAGACAAACTCCAACTGTACCATGTGCTTTCTGTAACGCCGCACATTGGCACAGCGAATGCCGATTATATTCGACTATTCAACAACGTAATAATCGGGCCCGACAACTAAATCTTTGCTTCAAGTGTCTTAAGCCTGGACATACAACTCTAAATTGTCCTCGTTCAAGAAATTGTTACTATTGCCACGGTCCACACAACACTGTCTTATGCTCTATGCAAGCAACACAACGGCCAGCAATATCTCATACTCATCTAGCTGTGGCCGAAACTATTCCAAATGCAACNTCTTCTAACAGTGCCGCAGTAACCACTTCTCAACACAACGTTATTCATCCATCTACCGTACTGCTATTATGGGGTACAACAAAAACTTATAATCCAATACTGCCTCAAAGCCTAAAAACTACCAGAGTATTCTTGGACCAAGGCAGCCAAACAACGTTCGTTACGGAACGATTTGCGAAGTCACTCGGCTTCTCACTAAACAACAAAAAACCTCTTATCATCCATGGAGTTGGCGATGTCGATGGCAATCAATACAACAGTGCGAAAATATTCTTTGGTATTCGACTAGCAGATGGATCAAACCACATCGTCGAAGCTTCAACTCTTCCAAAAGTTACAGCTAAGTTTCTTCATGCATCAATTACACCAACAGATTTACCAACACTTTGGAACGATATGTCAAGCGAATTTCCTTTGCCGTTATACGAAGATGAACCGGACATACTCATTGGCTCCAACTTCGCATCGGTCATCGACTTACACGCAATCAAGCAGCTTCGATGTGGCTTCACTCTATACGACTCCACAATTGGACCAATCGTTGGTGGCGCTGGAAGAATCCCCACCAAATATCAACACAAATATTCGAACCAAGCAAACACTGTTTTGGTTGGTAGCGTTCCATTCTTTGTGGCGAACAGCGATACCAACAATTATAACAATAACAAACCTCCAGCAACATCGAAAGGAATTATACCCTCTCCAAACGCGCAAATTGCAAAAGAATCGAGCACACCTCCATCTATCACAGTTCTAACGCCAGAACAAATATCGAAAGCTTCAATCCCTATCACCCAAGGCAAGTTTCAAGCACCTCAGCCCATACAAATTGAACTGAACAGATTAATAAATGAGGATCCCCAGACATCCTTCCCACAGGCAGCAGCAAACTATAAGCATCAAGGAAACAGACT